CCACAGCATGCACATCTGCGGCAGGCCGGGGATGTTGGGCATCGGTGACAGGTCGGCAAACACGCCTGCCGCCCAGCAATGCTCCGTGCCGCGCAAGTGCCGGGGTCACACCGTGCCGCGCACAACCTGCCGCTCGGCGGACACTGAGCGCAGACCAAAGGCTTCGGCGCCCCAGCGGCGGCGCTCCGGCACGTTCGTGATAGCAGGCAAAAGGTGCGGCACCATAGACCGTTAGGCCTAGGCGAGACCCCCTTTTTCCGATGTACGGCTCCTCCTAGAAATGTCGAGTCTTTGATCGATCAGGTTACAGTACTTGTGAATGGAATTGCCGTTGCTCTTGGAGCTCAGATGACCAACTACCTGTCTACGGCCTTGATCGATTTCTATGGGGCTGACAAGTAGCCACAAAGAACTTTGTGCCAATTGGGTGCCGATGTTGCACAGCCTGCGAATGCCACAACTACTGCGATTGTGACTCCGATAGCCATCTCACACTTCCTTGGTTTCCTCTCTAGCGCACAGCCCCGTTATCTGGATACGAGCATCCTTGGGAGCGTGCGCCTACAGATAAAGCTGGCTGGAACAAACGTTTTAGTTGGTCCTGTCACAAGAACACCAACATACGGGTGGAAGCTTGACACCATTCAAGCTTTGTGCCAGGTGGTGAGCGTTGACGATGGCTCTTACTCGCAGATTGTCCAGCAGAGGTTGAGCAACGGCGGTGTGAAGATTCCCTTTAAGTACTACCTGACCTTCCAGGGAAATGTTGGAATTGCTGGACAGAATCTGAGAATGAATGTGAGCTCTCAATCTGTTGATGGAGTCTGGGCAACTTTCCAGCAAGCGTTGACTGGAGCTACTTCTTATACCGCAAATGGCTACGATTCCCAGCTCAGGACCAGCACCTACTTCACGAGGTGTGCCACCAACATGTCTGACTCGGTCTTCTCCGTAAATGGAGTCGGGTTCCCGAGCATTCCCCTCACTCCCAACCAAATTTGGAATGAAAACATGCACAACATGGGACTTTCTTGCGACATGGTTGGACAGCTAGACAAGTCGTTTGTGTATGCACCAGGTGGTACCATCACGCCTGGTGTGAATGCTATCCAAAGCAACGCCTTCTTCCACTACTTCAAGTTTAATGTGGACAATGACGAAGGCACTTCCAGGCTCAGCTCTGGGTTGGATACCAGAGGGTCGGCCTCGACACTCACGTGGACGACGACTGGAAACTCAGGTTCACTTCTGCCGGTCTGCTTTGTTGAGTGCACTGGTATCATGGAGGTGGGTCCCAACCGCCAAGTGTCCGTGGTCTGGTAAGCAGTTTGATTTTTATTGTCTTTCTAATGTATAAAGAATGGCAGTCGCGTTCAAGACCCCCCTGGCTAACATGTTCCCTGAGAAGCTGAAGCCTAGTGAGCAGCCTTATACCGCTCCAAAAGACAATCGTTTGCTACCTAAAGTTGTTCGTATGCCAGTCGAAGTAGACTACGATGAGCTTGCACAGCCCGAAGACAAACTGGCATGGAATCTACCAAGCAAAGCTGACTTATATGGCAACTCGCTTACAATGATTGACCAAAAGAAGAACATAGCTCCTGCAAACAAGATTGGCTACAAAGAGCTACTAGACCTCAGCCTTTCCGACCTAACGCAGACAAACGTGAGTGGATTTACCTGCTTGACGGGTACGACTGCAGCCCAGCGTGGCAAGAAGTTGATCGCGAACGTGCCTCCAGTCGAGAAGCGTTGGAATACCCAAATCTGATTCTATATATTCATCCGTCAGAAGCGCGCATCCGCGAAATCTGTCAGAAAGAACAGATATTACAGTCAAATTATTTTCTTAAGTCTCTATAAATGTCTGACGATTCTATAGGGCCCATCGAATCGGAGGTTGCGGAAACTGTCGAAGAAGCTCCCGCCGTAGCCGCAACAGGGAAAGTTAAGAAGCCATGCAGCCCAGAAAAGCTAAAGCAGATGGCTTTAATGCGCGAGAAAGCAGCCCAAAAGAAAGCCCTTATGAAGGAACTTACCGAGAAGGAAAAAGCCCTCAAGCAGAAAACATTCGAAGAGCGAGTTAAGAAGGTAGAGGCTCTTGAGAAGTCCTTCAAGCCTGCACCTGAGCCTGAGCCTAAACCAAAGGCACTCCAAGCTGCACCTCTAGAGGAATCTGAGGCAGAAGTCGAGGTAGTCAAGGTGTGAAAAACAAAAAAACCCGCTAAGAAGGTGAAGAAGGTTGTGTATGTGTCTGATTCCTCTGACTCTGAGTCGTCCTCTGACAGCGATGATGATTCTCAAGATTACTATCGGCGTAAAGAAAAGAAACGATTGAAAAAGAAAGTCGATAAAAAGGTCGACAAGAAGGTTGCAAAAAAGCTCGCTGAACTCGCAGCTGCTCGACCAACACAACGAGACCTGATGCAGGTTGCTGCTCGTGACGAGATTAACTCGAAGGTTTCGAAGGCGATGAAGGAGATGGCGATGCGCTCGGTGTTTCCTGAGTAACTTTGGGTTGAATAGTTTCAAGCAGAATCTGATTATCCCAACATTGCCTGAACATTCTGTTTCTATCTTTTGAATCGTAATCCACAAACAGAAAGTCGTGAGGCTTCTGGCAGGCTTGCGTCCAGGCTTCCAAGACCTCTTCGGGGGTTGCTTTAGACGCCAGCTCTTCGGCGATCGACTCCTTCAGCTTATCTGACTTGGTGTCAAACAGAATCCAACAAGACACGTTGCCTCGAACTCCTCTAGGGATACCGTTGGTCAGCACTTGACTTGCCATGATTACTGTGCAAGAGTGATGGCGATGCAGCAAGATAAAATTCACAAAAGCCCCACGCATGGTTGGGCTGAACATCTTCTTGTCTGCGACACAATCATCTACGACCACACAAAACGAAGGAAAGCCCCATTTATAGATTGTCTTTGGTGCTTCGAAGTCCAGACCATAAAGCAACGCTATGTCATCATTGCTTAGCGAATCTATGTTCTTGCATTTGAGGAAACGTTTCCATGCTTCTAATTCCTTTAAGTACTTTTTATATTCGTCGACTTCGTGCACCATGTAAGCCATGATATCTTTGAAACCCTCTTCTGTATACCCTGGAATCACTTCTATTGTGAAGTTTCGAGGCTCCTCAGTCAAGCAAGCAGTCTTGGGATCCCGCGTAAAAGTTGGAGAGATGACAAAAACCTTGTCGTAAGACTTTGCTGCGTCATACATAAGAAGCCATTCGCAAATCCTCGTGGTCTTACCTTGACCCATGGATCCGACAAGTGCAACTAGCGGGTGAAGGGCAGTCATGTACTCGGGCACTTTGCGGTCTCCATACGGCAGCCTCTTGTTGTTTTTGATGTCCACCTTTGAGATAGGAAGTCGTTCCGTCTTCATTTTTTATTATATATGCTGATATAAAATGGTTGCAGATAAGGTCAAAGAAGAGTGGATTAGTGCTATGTGTCGGGATCACCCGAGGCTTCCAAAGTTTGTGGTAGAGGAGCTGGCGGAAACTTATGCGTTAGATGATGGGGAATCGTTGCGAGAGAATAAGAAAAAAGGGTGAAAAGTTTGCAAGAAAGCAGTCCAAGAAGGGCAAGTCAAAGTCTACCAAAGAGGAGCTAGACCCAAACAGGTTTAAAATTATGGGGGCGATTGAGGTGGAGACAGCTCCCGAGCAAGAGATTAGTGACGACTTTGAAAAGGTGACAATCGAGGAGATCACTGAAGATTAAAATGTCTAATTAACTTAAAAATGAATGTGAACTTTGCTGCAGGTCGCTCTGCCCCTCATCAGCCTTCACCATACCCTTTCCAGAATGTAAGCCAGAGCAAAGCTTATGAGAGAATGTACAAGATCATTCTGCACTCCGAGGATGCAGATTATGAAAATCACACGACTTACACATTCCGAAACGTCAGTATTCCCTTTGATGAAATTAAGGGAAACTGCCGCGTCTTCGTAAATAGCTTTCACACAATTAGTCAGAGTGAACCAACATATCCTTTCTATATTAACCTTGAAGAGCTTTCTCAACCGCTTTCTTATGACAGCAGGTCTGGGACTCAAACAAAAACACTTCTGACAATGCAGGGAGCCCAGATAGAGGCCGTTAGCCCTTTGTTTGGTGCTTCAATCCAAGATCTTAGCCTATTCAGGCAACGGACTCTCACCATCACTCTCAAGAGTGCAGACAATCACGACGATATTGACCTTATGGGAGGAGATGGTGATGTATGCTACCCCTGGACAATGACCCTGGGGATCATCCAGACCGAATGAAAATCTCCCTTTAGACTAAATGAGTGACTTAAATGTGCTTATCAACAGTCAATATTTATTTTTAAGATCAGCACAACCCAACTCTTATCATTCTATATTTGAGTTTGATACTGACGTAATGACGGCAATGCCAGAGCACCAGATGAGCTTAACAGTCGTAGATTTCACCATGCAAGTCCAATATTACGTGGTCAACAGCCTAAACAACCAGCTCACCTTGATTGATGTGCTTGCTCACACCTTACCAAGCACCACCATCACAGTCCCTCCAGGAAATTACAGCTACAGAGATCTCTGCCTCACTGTGAGCCGTCTGTATCCTGGGCTGACATGCACTTATGACAACCATGCCAACAAGGCTGTCTTCAAGTTCACGACGCCTCACACTCTTGCCTTCATAAACAACAGCTACCAAACCTTTGGATTTGACAGCACAGATGTCCCTTCTGGAACAGTCATCACCAGCACCAACCAGCTAGACCTGAAAGGAGGGGTCAATCAGCTAGTGCTGCATGCTGCTGGAGTCTCCACCACCGCTTGCTGGAACGTGGACAATTTCAGTTCAGACCAAGACCCGAAGTGCAAACCCTCTGATGTTCTAGCAGTCATTCCTTTTGACACAGCCCCATTCACTGTCCTACACTGGCAAAATCCTGGCAACCAGTTTGAGATGTTTCTAAATGAGCGCAACATAAGCAGGCTGCAAATCACGATCCAAAACATATACGGCAATGACCTGACCTATTTAAACCCTTATACCATCACCTTTCTGGTGAGGATTTACAAAAAGAATGTTCAAGATGGGCAAAATCGAACTGTCGGCATCTTGAGTGAGATCCTGGACTACACAAAACTTTCTTTAATCAAATCAATCGCAGGATTAAATTCTCTGGAATAGTTATAAAACATGGGACTTTTTTCTCGTATCGGCTCGTCTGTCCTCAAAGGTATTCACTCAGCAGGCAAGATTATCCGTCGCATCGGTGATGTGTCATCCAACGTGGCTAAAACCCTGCACGGGTCTGCACCACTCATTCACGGGCTATCGGCGGCTATCGGCTCGAACTTCGGGTCGGCGGGTGAACACGCGTCCGCTAAGTTCAACAGACACTTCGACAGCGGGGTCGCTATGGGGCAGCTCGTGGGGAATCGAGCGTCCGTTGCAGGTAGTTTACTGAGTCCGTAGTCCTGAACCAATCATCATTTTTCTGATTTTCAACGTACAAGTTAAAATATTTGGGGAGGGCAACTTAGTGGGGAGGGCATTTTTCGTGGGGAGGGCATTTTTCAACTCATTTGACATTTCGATTGCCGAATCTGTCCTCCCCGCACACCGAAAAATATTGTTTTCTTTTTTAGATCATTTTATTACTGTTATCAGTCCATATTTATCTTATATATCTTTGTTGTTATTTGGAAATGAGTAGTGGGGAGAGTAAATTGATGGGTGGGGAGGGCGGGGAGGGCAATAAACTAAAAAATATTTTTGAAGGGGGTAAGTAAAAAAATAACTTTAGGAAAATGGTCTCCCCGCCCTCCCTACCCAAAATCGTCCTCCCCACCCGCCTATTGTCCCTCCCCCAGCTGAATATGTTAGATTCCAAGACTGAATTCAGTCTCGTAGAAAAAAATGATCTAAGCAAGAGCGTCCTCCTCATCATCGTCGTCCCCCAGGTCTTTTGGCACAATGCCGCGATATACGACGTTTTTATGGAAAGGTCCGCGTGTCGTGATTTTCTCCGCAGTATGTTCGTTGGAATTCATAGCCTCCTTGAACTGCTGCTGATTCTTGCCAACATAGAAGTGACTCGACTTGTACGCCTGGTACAGGTCGCCAGCCTTGATGATATCATCAGGGTTGTTAGTGATGTCATAAAACTCTGACAGGAATCCACCGATTACGTTGTTAGAGTCGATGTACTCATTGGTACACTCAATGATTGACTGCGGGGTCGGCATTTTGCCGTGTAGTTGGACGTGCACGTGGGTCTCGATAAGCAGCCGCACAAATTCCTGCCAATATGACTCGCCGTTGGTAATATTGCCCTTTAGTTCTGTGTCGCCCTTGCGCTCGCAGGGTCTTGTGGGGTTCTCGACGAATTGAATGAGATGCGTAATAATCTCCACCCGCCTTTTGATGCCTTCGTCGTAATTATCTAGGGAGGCCTTGTTATTCATCTGGAGAACCAGCACAAATTGCGGAATATATTCGATGAAGGACTTGTATAAGTCCCTGGCTTGAATCCTGTCCCTCCCTGACTTTTTCTTGAGCTCGGCGGTGTTAAATTTGTCATTGGTGCCTGGCTTGGTCATACACCAGATTCGTTTGCCCTTACCCCGAGCGACTTCGCTGTTGGCGGCACTGCTGTTCCTCTTGCTGCCCGTAAAGATGCTGACGTCAGGCTGATAGTAGTAGTCGCCCAGAGTTTTGTCGTATAGTGTCTGCATGATGCCCTTGCCGTTCCCACCCTTACCAACCCAAAACTGGATTTTCTCATCCTTCTTGTCGCCGTGCAAGATGTAAGCACCAAACTGTAGCATGTATTGTACCATTTCGTCAGTGTCATAAATGCTTTTCAATAATTCGAGGAGCAACTTCCGCATTCTCGGGTTAACCTTGGGGCTGTAGTTATAGCCAGTAGAGAAGGTCAAGAAGTCATTTGGTCTACCCGCTCTGAATTCCATAGCGTTAAGGTCGTAAACCCCATTCTCAAACCCGATAAGATGCGGCGACTCGTCCAGTTTGTGTAGGAACTCCTTGTCGGACAGGTAGAAAAAATCAGCACACTCCTTCATGATTGCGTTCTTGAATGTCTGGTTCTTCAGTCGCTTGGCGATCTTTCTGTACTGGTCGCCAGTGTCGTCCTTGTCCTCATCGTCCGAGTCGTCCGAATCAGCACGTGCCTTCTTGACGCAAGCCTTGGACATAGCAGTGAATGCCTTGTACACGTCCGTAGACAGCTTGAGACGCAGCCTGTCAACCCCGCCCACGCAGACCTCCCACCGATGCCCAGTGAACTTGTACCACGTGGACTTGTCCTTCTCGTCCTTGCTGCTGACGTAATCAAACTTGAACATTGAGTACACGACCTGTGCCACGTCATAATGACTACCTGAAAGTGCCGTGATCACAGCAGTCTGCATACTGGTCTCAATGTACTTCTTGTACAGTTCGGGGTTGTCGATCTTAGCCCAGTAGTGCAGGCTGCGAATAGTGTTGCCAGGCTTAAAGTCGTACCACATCTTATCGCACTCACCAGCCTGGTACTTGGACGACAACTGACTGAATTTATCCCAGACCGGTAGAAGACCCTCATCAACACTGTGCAGGCTAGAGCCAACCGCCAACCAGTCGCTTCTGACGTCAGCCCTAGACGGAGCCAGCATAGCCACAAGCTGCTCAACCTCCCCCAGAAGAACCATATTGCACGTGGGGTGAACAACCTTCGTTGGCTGAGCGTCAGGTTTGGCGCTCATAGCAGCGGCAAATGCGGCAACCTCCTCCGCCTTCTCCGGGAGCACCTTGGACTCATCATCATTGCCGTTCTTGTTGCGAATAGATAGCTGGTCAGTCAAATCGGACGGCTCATCTTCACAGGGATCGGAGTCACCATCCTTACCCCACAGAGTGTAAGCGCACGTGTAGGCAGGTCCTGTACCGTCCTTGGTACTCCCGTACATCAGGAGGGGGTTCTTGTCAATAACCGCCAAGTCGTAGATGTCATTCCACGTGTTCAGGAATTTGACGTCGGCGAAAATCTCGGACAGCGTGCTAGACTCCAACAGATTCTTACGGATGATGTGCTGGACGGTTGAAACCGTTACTATGTCGGGGAAGTGCAGGTGAAAACCGTCCTTGAAAGGGTGCTTCTTGTCAGCTCGGGGGGCGGGTTTTTCCAGCGCGTAACACGTCAGTGCATCCTCGTCAAAGTTGACGTAATGTGAGGCTTCTTGGGTGACGGCGGTGTAGATTGCTTTGATATGGTCGGTAGTGTAAACACGCTTCGCCGACTCCTGCTTGAAATCGAAGTCGATGAAGATGGGTGACGTGGCACGGTGTTTCTCAGTCAGAGTCAGGTGAATCTTCTTTGTGAGTGCAGCGTTGTACAGATCCATGAAGGACTCTGATTGTTCTTCATTTACATAGTACGTACCTTTAAAATCACCAGCACACCCGGTGTGTGTATATTCAGAACCCTTCTGCACTTTGCGGGAGTTGAGGAAGTTTAGAAGATTCTGCTTTGCTGCCATTTTAATATACCTGGCGACATTTCTTTAAGTAGTTTTCACTTTACCTTAAAATGAAACAAAAAAATGACTTCAATAATTACATCGAAAACTTGAGTTCCAGATAGTTAAGAGCTAACTGCACGTTAGGTGTGGTCGGAGAAATGGTCTGGACAGCCCAAGCAGCATACCCCCGGTCGATTTCGTAAACACACCTTCCCTTATACTTGGTTCCAATGGGCCAAATGCAGTTAGATGCCTCGGTCTGGACGTATCTCGGACGCACGTCAATCTCGTCCGGATTGGTTGATTTGATGTACCGTGAGATGTCAAAATTCCTGACACGTGGCGCAATCGTGGCAGCGGATATCGCCCGCATCCGATAGCCATATTGAAAACGACAGTCCTTGCAGTATCCCACGTGGCTCTTACGTTGTTTCTCGCCGCACTCATTACAGCGGCGACCTTCCCGCTTTTCACGGCAGATCGTACAATAATTGTCCTTGCGATTCTTATGGGGCATGCGGCAGTTTGCACAGGTCTTCCCCTGATTATCGGGAGGTAAGAACCTTAAGATGCAGCAATTCCCGACCACGAAAAGCTTGGGCGGGTTGCACCGTCGATCGTTGGGCATGTACTCCACGTAACAGTTCTCCTTGATCCAATGGGTGCATTCACACTCTTCCACAAAGTCAGGCTGAAGCGACACGTCACCAAACCGTTGCATGAAGTAGTTAAAGCGAGACTGCTTATTTCCTCTCGCGTAGTAGAAGTAGCGAAATGACTTGGCACCAGTCTGCCCGAAAAGCTTGTCCTTCAGAATTCGTGCATATTCTTGCCCGGGGTGCGAATCAATGCCTGGTTGCATTTGTAATTTAATGAAAAGGCTTCTCTTTAAGTAGTTTTCATTTTGTCAGAAAAAGGAAATTTAGAACAAAACCCTAAACAAAACCCTAAATCCTCAAAATCTCAAATTTTGTGCTCGGCCGCCGCTTTAGCCGCCCGACGTTCCTGTCGCAGTCTCGCCGACCTTTCCTTAGCTCTCAGCCGTTTCTTCTCTCGGTACTCTGGGTCGTTTTGATACCGTTCGTTGCTTCGTTGATTGATCGAGTCACGCTCCTCTTTGCTCAGCTTGTGAAAGCGCTTGCGAGCAGCTGTACGAACTTTGTCTGCATATTCCGCATCCTCCTTGTATCGAGTTGAAAGTTTTACCAAGGGCTCAGGTGCATTCTCAACACCTGCTTTGATGTGTTCTGCAATCTGTGTTAAGGCGAACGCCTTGATGGTGGCAGTCAGTGCGTCGATATCCATTCTTACTAATACAACAAGGTAATATTCCTTTAAGTAGTTTTAGTTTTTGCTGCAAAATTAAATTCCTTAATTTGCATTTGAAGCACTTGCCGCGGCTTTGTTGCGATGATAGCGTTCCTTTTGATAAACTCTTACCTTTTCAGCATGCTCAGGATCATTCTGATACCTTTCCCTAGCTTTTATACGCTGCTTATCAAGCAGTACCTTCTTTTTCGCAGGTGGAAGACTGTGATACCATAGCCTTTGACAGAATGAATGCAACTTTTTTCAATTCTGTGGGATTCGTTGGGACGCTAATCTCCATTTTCATTCTATTGAGAAAATAATGCGGAATATACAACCCGAATTTATATATCCTCCTTGTAGTAAAGAACGAAACCATGCCACGAACTAGAGGGAGCAAGAATGCAGGCAAGACAATAGACATAGATACCGAGCCAGCTGCACAGTCTGTTGCGGCGGCGGCAACCAGAAGCACGAGAAGCAAACCTGCAGCCCCTAAACCAGCCCCTGCACCTGCTCCACCCCCACCTGCTGCAAAGCCAAAGCCAGCCAGACGTGCTGCTAAAGGTAAGGGGAAGGAGAAACATAAAACTATTACGGTCGAGGATGCGACTGAACAGGTAGAAAGAAACGCTTAATCTTGCACCCGATACAAAGCAAGACTACGTGCGCAAGGTGGAATTCATTGCGCGCTGCTTGCGGGAGAAAGATCTGCAAAAGCTAATCAACCAGCCAGACAAAGTTATCGCATACATTCGAGACAGGTACATGAACCTAAATTCCCGCACTGGTTATGCTGTAGCATGTGTGAGTATCATCAAACATAGTACGTTGAAGGTAACGGATGATGTGCAGCAGAAATACTACGATTTTATGATGAAATGCGCGCGCGAAGTTCAAGAAATGAACAAAGACAACGTGCACAAGGTCGATGAAGTCATGTTGAACGGTAAACGAGTTGTGTGGAAAGACATCTTGAATCTCGAAGCAAAGATGCGCAAAGAACAATATGCATCGAAAGACCATCTAATGGTGGCGATTTTTTCCTTGCAGAGCCCACGCAGACTCAAAGATTTTTGTAAGATGGAGGCATTTAAGAGCAAAGCAGAGTTTGATAAAACGGCTGCCCTGAATAAGATCTGGCTGGATACTCGAATGAAGTGTGCGCATATGAGTATATCTGAATTCAAAACCTTCAAAGATAAAGGAACGTACACAGCCAAAATAACTGGGGTCTTATATGAGATTATCAAAACTAGTCTAGCAGAGCACAAACGGAAGTTCTTATTTGAAACCACCAATCAAGATCCTTACACTAGCGGTACGTTCTCTAAGCTGCTAACAGATACTTTTAAACGAAATCTAAGCTGTTCTATCGGGCTGAATAGTCTTAGGCACCTAAAAATAACCAGTTTCTTGGCTCAGAATCCGTCGTTGAGAGAGCGGAAACAGCTCGCTTGGGAGATGGGGTCGAGTGTTGCTATGCAAGCTGTGTACAACCAACCAGACACCCAGGCCACTCGAGCTGCAAGAGAGGCAGAGAAGAACGCCAAGTTAGCTGAGATCAAACGATTGCGAGAACAGATCGACGCAAACATCAAGAAAATTAGTCAGTTGAGCCAGGAGCTGGCTGATTTGTAGATGGTTCTTTGTGCTTCCGTTTCATATGACGAGTTATACTTGATCTGTTCATCTCACAGTCACTCACAAAGCACTTTGTTTGCTCTTTATTTTTAGCATTCACTATGTCTTTGTTCTTTTCTCGGTATGCTTGGCTGGCTACTTTCAACTTCTCTTTATTGTCGATATACTTCTGACGTAAGATTGCCTTGTTCTTCTGCCTATAATCCTTGCAAAGTTGTTCAATCTTCTCCCTATTTTTTGTTCGATACTCCGCCATGTAATTTTTGATATGATCTTCATGTGCTTTTGCATACTCCCTTTTCTGTTCACGTGTTTCATCCTTATGCTTCTCATAATAGACTTTCTTCATAGCCTTTATCGCATGAGAGTTTTTCTGATTGTAATCCTTCATTCTTTTACTGATGTGTTCCTTGTTGGTTTTATAGTATTCCTTTTGTGTCCTGGTTGGAATGTTTCTATTCAGTTTTGACTCCAGCTTCTCAATCCAGAATCTCTCACGCGATCGAAGTTTGTCTTTTGAATTACAAGGAAATGGCTCAAGCAAAGTAATCTGAATATCCTCCCAACCAGTCTGCAGAGACAGAACAGCAGCGTACAAGGGCACAGTGGGCTTTTCGAACGAAGTTCTTACATGCCCAGACCTCCGTTCAGCAAGAGTCTTCTGGACAGTGCTCCCCACATAATATCCAAAATCTGGGACACTTATCTTGTAGATCTTTCCGAGGCTATAATCAGGCATCTTGTGTTTTACTGTGTTTACATAAGTTTCCTTTAAGTACTAACAATTCGAACAAGCAAACAAGGTTCCTGGAATGCAACAGAGGAACTCAGAAGGCTCACCTGTCTTACAATCTCTGAGAGGTTGGTAGCTCAAATGTTTGCACAGGGGTAGGGCTTCTGAAGGAATAGTTGTCGCCATTCCGCTTCAGGAGGATGATTTTCTTCTTCTTCGCAGATGCCTCAAGCTTAGCCAGGTCCTCGTGTGGAATCCAGGAAGCCATTTGTGCCACATAGACATTGTCCACCAGCAGGAAAGCCAGAGCAGGATCACCGAGGGCAGCTTCAATCAGCAAACCACAGACTTCGCGAAAAGCATCGCGGAGCTCTTCTTCATCCAGCTTGGTACAGCAGAACCCAATCACCACACAATTCCGCCCCAGAAGCACAGCATCCACCTCGCTCCCCGCAACTACTCGGAGTTCGGGTTTGTTTTGTAAAGAAACTCCTCTTTGACTGAACAGCTTGAGAAGTGCTTCTGCAAACTTGTCCTCTTCTCCTTTTATGACATTTGTCCGCTCGCGCTTTACCACTTTCATCGCACTCTCGAGTTTCTGAGAATCAGACAGGTACGTCCGGCCACTGACAATGTCATCAAAATCATCGCTGTAGAGAGCTTCCTCTGATTCTGTGTCACGGAGAAAACCAATGCCCTTGTTCCGAAGGTAGTCTGACAAGGAAGCCTGGTTGCGAAACTTGACCTTTTTCTCAGTGCCTGTTTCCGGATCTGCTATCCGAACCACCTTTGATGAAGGTTTTGACGCAGTCATAGTAAGACCTCCTCTTCGTGTTAGTGCACAGTGTAGCTGAGGGAATCCTGCTAACCTTTTGTAAGAAGTGACTCCCAGAGCTAAACCCTGCAAATGACAAGCAGGTTGCACCCTTGCCTCCATCATGCGCTGCAGTCAGTTTCCTCGTCTACCTTGAGGTCAATTGCACGTTCTCAAAAGAGACGGTCCAGAAGATCTCTGGTCTTCTTTTTCGTCTATCCTTCTCAACCTAGGTGCTGTAATCAGTAGCTCTATTGCTAGCAATATTAGCTCCAATTCTAACACGGTAAGGCGGAGAAGCACGAGGTAGATAAATCTCTAAGAGAAGAAAGGTTTAGCTCAATTGTGTAAAACACGGAATGAGCTCTACAAGTGGATAAGTCCACTATTTGTAGTGAGCTCTCAGCCTAAGGGCTGCGGCTCAGCTTACAGACTGCATTGTATGCAGTCTTACAATGTTATGCGTATTGGTGAGCTTAGTAATCTAAGCTCACCTAGCGTCAGCCAATAGGAAGCAAGCATTCCTTTAAACAGGATATGTTACCGTTACTAGGGTTTAGCGTTGCAATCTATATATGTGCTCAGCGTTAGATCTCAAAATCTACGGCTATAATTCTATCAAAAGATCCACGTGTTACAGCAGTCCCCCCCTTAAGTACTGGCAATGTCCTCATTGCCGGGTTCTAAATTAACCAAGTGTGCGTCTACCCACTGTGCCTCGTGAAAGGGCTGGTCACGGTAGGTAACTAGGTACTGAGTACGCTGTCGGGTACCGCGTCCGACGGTGCGCTGATCTACGACGGCTTCCATGGGGTGTTGTGGCCGTTCGGCGGTGAGTACCGGAGGGGGTGGTGGAGGGTCCCGGTCTGTGAACCGGTCGGGGTCGTTAGGATTACAGGGCTTGAGCTGGGATACGTGGAAGACCGGATGGATTGTCATGTGGGCGGGGAGGTCTAACCGGTAGGCTACGTCGGATATGACCTGCTGAATGGTGAACGGGCCGGTATATTTGGGGGCTAGTTTTCGGACCTGAGAGCGGGTGGGGAGCGACAAGTGGGCGGTGGAGAGGTATACTTGGTCGCCGGGTTGGAAGATAAGGGGGCGGCGGCGGGTGTCGGCGTATTGTTTTTGGCGGTTTTGGGCGAGTGCGAGGAGGGTTTTGGCATCTTGGATGCCCGTGGCTATGTTGTGGAGGAATTGATCGGTGGCGGGGGTATCGGAGGACGGGGGTTTGAGGAGGGTGCCAGGTGTGAGAGGGTGGCGACCAGTGTTTAGGTAGAATGGGGAGTGACCGGTGGAAAGTTGGACCGAGTTGTTATAGGCGAACTCGACGGCGGTGAGGTGTAAGTCCCAGTCGGTGTGGCGGGCGTTGACATAGGGCCGCCGAGAGCTTCTTCGACCACCCGGTTGACGCGCTCGGTCTGACCGTCCGTCTCGGGGTGGAACGCGGTGGAGAAGGAGAGCTTGGTACCGAGGAGCCTGAAAAGGGTGCGCCAAAAGTTAGATGTGAACCGTGGATCGCGATCAGAGATAATGACTCGAGACAGCCCCTTATGTCGGAAGACATTGTCGAAATATACTCTGGCGATAGCAGGCGCAGTGGTATCGTCAGAGATAGGTGCAATTTTAATTTCCTTCGATAATCTGTCGACAAAGACTGCAATGCTGGAATTTCCACGTGATGTTTTGGGCAAGCCCACGATTAGGTCCATAGTGATTTGTTCCCACCGCCCCGGGGGATAGGAATGGGCTGCAAAAGACCCCCGGGGCGGCGGTTAGTAGGTTTGTTTCGCTGGCATGCATCGCATGAGCGAATGTAACGCCGGACATCCGCTTGGAGGTCCGGCCAGTAGAAGGTGCGGGCTGTGAGTTCCTCCGTCTTGTCCATTCCTAGATGGGCAGAGACGTTACAATCGTGGCTAGTACGTAGTACCCGAGTACGCAGTTCGGGTACCGGTGGTATCATTGTACAACCGGTCAGAGTTGTACAGCAAGCCTGCGTCCAGGGAGAAGTCGCCGAAAGCAGTGTCAGCTAACAGCATGCGGGAGATAACCATCTGCGCATAAGGGTCAGTAGAGGTGGCAGTGCGCACAGCGGTTAGGAAGGTATGGTCAGGGATCAAACTTGACACGGAGGCGAGTACCGGTTGGTCTACCGGTGGTTCGACCTTATGGTCCGGGCGTCGCGAAAGCGCGTCCGGTACTGTGTTCAAGCGCCCTTCCCTGTACGTGAGGTTTAGGATAAACTGAGCCAATTGCTCCTCCCACCGGTGATGGCGGGAGCGCATAAACTCAAGCTTGAGCGGGTATAGTAGTGGCCGGTGATCGGTACGGACGGTCACCGGCCGGCCTAGTAGGTAGTGACGCCACTTGTGGGTTGCATGCACCAGCGCCAGTTGCTCCCGGTCGCGTGCGGAGTAGTTCCGCTCGGCGCGATTGAGTCGCTTGGACTCAAACGCGATCGGGTGCAAATCGGTACCGGTACCTTGCAAAAGTACGCCGCCCACCCGTGGCAAAGTCAGAGGCGTCAAGATCGAGAGTGCATGGCAGTGTAGTGTCAAAAGGGCGTAAGATAGGTGCATGGGTTAGTGCGAATTTGAGTGAGTGGAATGCGTGGTTATGCCTATCGGTCCACTCGAATTTTGCACCCTTCACCAGCAGATCAGTCAGAGGGGCTGCAATACGCGAGAAATCCCGAATAAAGCGACGATAAAACCCCGCAAGTCCAAGGAAAGAGCGTATGTCGCCAGGATCCTGGGGTTGAGGCCATGCGGTTACCGCTGCAACCTTGCATGCCTCCATTGACACCCCCTCAGAATTGATGACGTGGCCGAGGAAGGTAACCTCGGTACGCCACAATTCACACTTGGACTCCTTGGCAAACAATGTGTGCTCGCGCAGACGTGTGAAGCCTTCCCGGAGGAGCCGCTCGTGCTCTTCTGCAGAATCGGAGTAAATTAGTATGTCGTCAAGGAAAATGACGACGCCCCGATCAAGCAAATCCCGGAAAACCTTGTGCATTAAATCCATAAAGCAGGCAGGTGCGTTAGTCAAGCCGAAGGGTAGAACAAGCCACTCGAAATGCCCATATCGAGTCCGAAATGCCGTCTTCGATACGTCAGCAGAATCAATCGGAATTTGCCAATAGCCCGAGCGAAGGTCGATTTTCGAGAAGAATTTAGCACCGTGTAGCTGGTCGATTAGGTCATCGGCCCGGGGGAGAGGATATGCATTTTTAACAGTTTGTTTATTAAGCCCCCGGTAGTCTATACAGAAGCGCAAGCCCGCGTCCTTCTTGGGGGCGAAGAGGACGGGGGCCCCCCACGGAGAGTTGCTCGGGCGGATGAACCCCTTGGCAAGGAGGTCATCCAGAGTCTTGCGCAACTCCTCAAGCTCCGCGGGGGACAGCCGGTAGATAGGTCGGTTTACAGGGGTGGCGCCCGGGGTAGTGTCTCGATTTTGAAGGGCATGCCACGGTCGGGGGGTAGGTTGCCCGGTAGGTCCTGAGGAAAAATGTCAGGAAATTCAGCTTTGAGTTTTTCACAGCGTTCGTACTCAGGCGCGCGGTTTTGAGCCGCATCCGGTGTAACGTTCGGAACAACCTGGTACACGGGGTGATTTTCTTTAAGAGTTTATTAATCTGGACGGAGTTAAGCAGTCGGTCAGATCCAAATTCCTTGCGCAAGGCGCGCTTAGAAGGTTTCCCGGCCTCAAGCGTTACAACCCGTCCAGCGTGAGCAAAGGTGACAGTGCGGCGCAACCAATCGACGTTCTTGTTACCCGACTCTAGCCACGGCAAACCCAAAATGACATCGTAAGTGATGTCCGTAACGACGAAATGTAGGTCCTCGGAGTACTCAGTACCGACCGAAAGGGGCACGGCATGAGTAGTCCATTTGACCGGTTGCTGTGAACCGTCGGCTAGAGTTACAGGCTCCAAGGAAACATCGCTGCGCAAACCAAGATTCAAGCGACGAGCAAACCCGGTAGACATAACAAGGTCAGAGCAACCCGAATCAATCAAGACTCTGCATGCAACACCCTTAACCACACCACGCAAAAACATTAACCGGCTTGACTTCGGGCCACTTGGGCCCGGAGCGGCCTTGCGGTTCCTGGGGAGGGGACCGCGGTCCCCTTCAGAGTTGCCACCAGTGGACGTCCCGGGACCGTCTACTGGGGCGTGAAGTTTTCCGGAAGCCTAGGCTCAGGGCCGAAGTCGATCAGGTCCGGGTGCTCGGTGGGTGTTGCCGAGCGCTCGGCTTGATTGACCCGGGGGTTCTGCGCAGGGGAGGAGGTACCAAGAGGGCAGTTAGTCGCAATGTGACCAGTCTGGCGACACCTGAAACAACCACCAATCTTCCGTAACCGATCCCTCTCGGCATCGGTTAGCGGGAGCAGCCTACGTCTCAATGCATCGATCTCCATAGGAACAGGGTCAGCGACAGGGTTAGAAGCAGGACGAGAGAGGATAGGGACCGGGGTGTAGGTGGTTGATCGCCCTTTTGGCTGGCGATCCAACCCAAACCCGGGGGAGAAGAGGGAGTCCATGCGGTCCGCCAGCTTGACCGCGTCCTCAAAGGTGGCCGGTTCGCGCATGGTAACTTCCATGCGCGTGCGCGGCTTGAGCCCTCGGACGAAGCGGTCGAGCAGCTCGTCGTCTTGGATGTTTGGTACCTGCATGGCTAGCTCTTGAAGTTTTTGAGCGTATGAGCGCACACTCCCATCTTGCTTGAGATTAGCCATTTTATCTCGTGCATGGCGAGTGGCATTCACAGCCCGGAAGCGAGAGAGAAGCTCGTCGTGGAAGTACGACCAGTCGTACAGAATGTCATGCTCGGGGGTACCCTCAAGGCGAGTACACATGTACCGCCACCATGTCTTAGCACCCCCCTCAAGCAAACCCGCAGCATGCAAGACCTTCCTATCGTCAGGAACATGCATGCCCAAGAAGTACTGCTCGCAATCGAATAAGAAGTTCTCCACTGCCCCCGCAGTGGACGAACCATTATAGGATTTGGGTTGGGGAAGCTTAAGCTTCCCCGTTACCTCTGAGCTTGCAGCCTGTGCGGGTGCTGCCTGAGCTGCCGGGGGGGTCGCTTGCAGTGTCGCCAGGCGCTGCACCTCGCCTTGCAGCCCTGTCACCAGTCCCACCAGCTGAGTGATGGCTGCTTGCATGGTCGCCGGATCAGGATCAAACTGATCCCCCATGTCTTGAAGTGCCCTTCAGCTCACTGTGAACGGAGGTAGAGAGAAAGAGGAGCTAGAGATCAAGGTGTGGCCTTGATTGACGGGGAGAGAAAGGGAGAAGGATCTTGTTCCTTGCAATACCAATGTAATCAGTAGCTCTATTGCTAGCAATATTAGCTCCAATTCTAACACGGTAAGA